TCTTTCAGGGTCCACTGGACCCAAGAAAGAATATATACAAAATATTTGTTGGTATTTATTATAGACTTTTACTTTTAATACATTTTTGATAAATTGATATATATTTGGTTCCAGATGCATGACAAATGCCCCTCTTTTTATATTTAAAAAAAACAACAACAAATTTTTCAAAAATAAAAAAACAATACCTGTCACCGAAACCAAATAGCCTGGGGTCCAAAGGACCCCAAAAGCCCATATAAGGAATTGATTTTTGCAGCCTCAAAATGAAACCAGTTTAACCTTATTCTTACCCTCCTGATTATTATGGCTATGGAGACTATTACGATTCATATGGATATGATTACCTGCCAAAATCAATTTCTTACGATCCAGCCTCTAGGGCAGCTGGATGCAACAAAAAAAAACAGGTGTAATAGGTGGAGGTAAAGCAATTTATTGCTCAGCGACAAACTTAACGGAAAAAAAAAAAAAAAGATAATGCCAAGAAAACGGCTAGTGGGTGTTGCTAAATCAAAGAACAGAATAAAACCAAACAGAGGCTAACAGAGTAAATCAAAATAAATGTACAAAAACAACCAAGCTCCTTAGCCAAACTGAAACACAATAGCAAAACCCATAAAGAACAAAAGAAACCAAATAAACGAGTGCCTCAAAACACACACCAAGAGACAACGAGTAACTTAGCAACTCACAAAGTTGCTAATCTTCACTGAGACACGGGTAACTTCCACACTAAGCTATCAGCTGCCAACAGAAATTAGATTTTAACACAAAGACACAAGAGGCACCAGGGCAAACTGTTACATCCCAGCCGGCTGCAACAGAGTTTGATTGAGGCTTTGTATTATTAAGGTGTGGTGATTGCTGCAGTAGGGTTGGATGAGGGCGGACCGATCCAGGTGGTGGCACAATCAGGAAGGTCAGGAGGCAAGGGGAACGAGTGCTTCAGGCCAATCATCCCTGACTGATGATGGGTGGACTCTGGTGCTGCTCCTCAGCCCAGTGAACACAATCATCTCACCAAACAAAGGCCACAAAAGTCCACCACATAAACAAGATGGAGAAAAGGCACCGGGGGCGTAACAAACTAAAACCTATTTAACCCTGCTGTTGAGTTTGAGAAGCATGAGTCAAATGCTACTATTTTATCGACCAAAAACAAAAATAATTGACAGTTCTTGAACTAATCATTTTAAACTGTACACTGTGTGACATTGTGATATTTAATCAGACTCACTTAATTCTAAACTTCCAATTTAAAAATTTGGTAAAAATAACTAGATTTTTTGGGAGCAGGGATAGAGCGTTGCCGGGCAACCAAGCACACAGCTGCAAGGAAGCACACAGCTGCAACTGATACTTTGTTTAACTGTCAAACCAGTCGAAGGTTCTACTTGTTCTGTTGTTGGACTTCTGTGCTAATCACAGTTTGTCCATCACGAACACCATGTTCGAGCACAAGGGTGTCCACATGTGCACGTGGCACCAGGACACCCTAGGCCGGAGGTCG